CCCCTGCCTCCCGCCTCCCCGCCCGCCGCGGAGCTGGGAGGCCCGGGAGGTGCGGGGGAGCCGGGCCGGAGCGGATCCGCCGGAGACTTAATGATTAACTCCCGCCGACCGTAGCTGCCGCAGGTGCGAAGGAGCAGATCTCGCCCCACCGCGGCGACGGCAAAAGGGGCTCCGCTCATCCCGCCGGGCGCTCCGCTCCTCGCAGAGGCCACGGAGGCCAGGAGAGCGGGACCCTCCTGGGCACCGTCTGTTACTGTCAGTTCCTCGTTACTTCCTAGTGTCGGAACAAAATATCTTGATTTTGTGCAAATAGATCACGGTGATCTGGCAGAGATGGGTCTTTGCGTGGCTCCGCTTCACCGTGCTGACTGGGAGGGATGGCAGGGGACAGTCACAGAAAGATGGTCCCTGCTTGTTCCAGGGAGCAACGATGTCAGAAGAGTGGAAAAATAGCCTGATCACTGCAGCACCCAGTGTTTTAATGTGTCATCGTTAAAGCAAAATCTTGGGCACTATCCTTCTGCCCCCAGATAAAGGATGGGAAACTGCAGTATGGGTTGTGGTAACAAGGAGCCCTGAAACGCTGTATCAGGTGGCGTTTTTCCAGCCATCAAGTAGTGTTGGGCTGTCACAGACACAAACCTTGTGAAGAGATGTTCATCCTTCTACTCTCTTTACATCTTCTGTTGCTTCTGAAATCACTGATCCCACCAAGCAGTACAAAGCAGCAGAATATTACAACGACCACTCTTGCACAGATGCATCATCAAACCATCTATCAGCTATCAACCATATTTAACAAAACCCCAGATGTGCCCATATCTGCCCAAAGGCCCAAAACCGCATTGTAAGTATGAATGACAGACCCCAGAAATGAGGAAAGACATGTGAGAGAGTCCCAGAGTCTAAAATAACATCTAGCCAGAACTTTGGTAATAAGGAGCTAAATATAGTTATTTGCTGCATAAGAGCAGGATTCTCCTTTGCTTTGGTGTCAGAATATCCTCAGGGATGCTAATGAATTTTCTTTATCATCAACACAGGGATTAACTGAGTGAGGGGGTCTAGTCCAGGAACCAGCTGATTTTCACCCTGGGGCAACAATGATTTCTAGTCCCTTCCTGTCCCTTCTAAGAACCAAGCACTGATTTAATTAACTTTACCTCAAACTGAGGATGATTTCAAGGGCTTTTTCAGTAAAGATAAATCCTCCTTAGACCTGGTAACCTTTTCTGGCTCAGACAAACGGTGCCCTGCTTGTTCTTTCAAAGCCAGTGACAGACTGTTATGGGGAAGAAAAGAACAGTTTCCCACACCCTAGAAGTTGGTAACATGGCTCCCATACTGTATTAATCAGGAGATGGTTTCTGCTAATCACTGTCTTAGACATGAGAATGGGAAACAATGTTTCAACATTTCCTGACACTAGAATCAAGTAGTATTCAGCGGGTTGGAGATGAGGCCAGGGGAGGCTCAGCGTGGCATATGTTGGAATGGAATATCACTGTCTTTTTTGTCAACTCCATATTTGAGATCTTGGTGGCCTTCCAGTACCTGAAGGAGGCCTACTGGAAAGCTGGGGAGGATCCTTTTACAGGGGCTTGCAGTGAGAGGACAAGGGGTAATGGTTTTAAGCTGAAAGAAGAGAGATTTAGGTTAGAGATCAGGTGTAAATTCTTCAGTGTAAGGGTGGTGAAACACTGGAACAGGCTGCCCAGAGATGTTGGGGGGGCTCCATCCCTGGGGGTGTTCAAGGGCAGGCTGGATGGGGCTCTGAGCAGCCTTTTCTAGTGGAAGGCATCCCTGCCCATGCAGGGGAGTTGGAACTCAATGACCTTTAAGGTCCCTTCCAACTCCAAAAATTCTGTGATTCTGTGATGTTATTGTTTGGTACAGGCTGCAGAATAAAGTGAGCTGGAGTGCACTGGGACCTCCTTGTTCTCTTCTCCTCCAAGAGATTGACTCCCCCAGTACAAGACCACTCCCTCACTCAATCCTCTTTTGAGATCCACACACCCCTTCTGAGCAGCAACTCTGTCTGCTCCGGCTCTTTGTGCTCCAGGTCTTTGCTGGACTAAAGGAGGGACACCAAAAGCTAAGGCAGGTGGACAATCCTACCTCATGTTTAAACTCCCTGCTGCTGGAGTGGAGAGTCCACCCAACATGTATGATCTCAGTCTTTGGGAGACAGAAGGGGGTGCAGATGCTGAGTTAGGCTAGCTGGAGCTTTCAGTACCACGGACATTACAGCATTGCTAGTACCTAGGAATTTTTATTGCCATTTTGTGGTGTGTCCACTGAGAACTGGAATCCTAGCAATATTGCTCGTTACTGAGTGAAATCTAAATGATGAAGTAGAACTGGTAAAACGTATCCACATATATCTGTTCATTCAAATTCAAAGATTGTACCTAAAAAAATAATAATAATTTAAAAAAAAATATATATATACACGCATTAATTGTAATCATTATATTTGTCCCTGGACATGAACCATGGGATACCTCTTGCCTACTTTCTTCTCAGAGTTATTTTTCTGATTCAAATCTGATCACTTCAGTCTCACTTTGTAGTCAGTGGAGATGAAAAGATGTCTCCCAGGGATAATGCGTACTAGGCACATTACCCACTGAAACAAAATCTGTTTCTCTTCCTTGTCTGTACTGAGATCCTAGGAAGTTTTGCTTTGTTTTAGGTGAATTTTATAATGGTGTAATCCTACCAAAATTCAATAGATTCTGTTATACAGCCTGAATAAAGTCCACTAAGCCAAAAGCCCTTTTGCCAATGCCTTTTGAAAGACTGTGATAAAGAAGAAGGTTTTTAATCACACAAATTTATTTAGGAAACTATCTACTTAGCAATTTAAGGGTCAAAGCATTGAAGCATTCTCCATCATCTTAGGTTTATTGTTTCCAATAGTTACCCAATCATTCCTTTTGATAAACTAATTATAATTATGGCTTTAGATCATCCCTTACTATAAAAAAAATAAATAAATATTTGCATATTTATTGCAGCTTTTCCCTGAGCCCTTACTAAGGTGCTTATACATCAGCAATGTTTTTGAAATAATTTCTCTAAATAATTTATTTAGTTCTGGTGGCAGGGGAGGACACTTGTATCATCCCTTGCTGCCACACAGTGCTGTGACTTCTCTGAAGTACTGGGCAAAGAAATGGCCATCCTTAATTGTGGGACCAGGGATCTCTGCCCTCAGTGGGGAAAGGAAGACATCCTAGCAGGAAACATCCAGGAAAACATCCTGGCCTAGCAGTGCCAGCCCAGCAGCTGCAGCAACCTGCACTGGTGCCCCTTGCCCTTGGCTAGTTCTGTGAGTCCTACTGCTTGTCCCAGTGCTGTAAAATCACACCAATGTGGTTGAACATTATCAGTGCAGCCAAGAGAATGAGCAGATAATGTTCAAAACTATGGATCTGCAGTCATCGTGTGCTACCCAGGGGGACAGTTGTGCAGTTCCTTGCTATGCACATCTGTGTGTGCACACAAACATACCATAAGGAAACAAAATGACAACCCAAAGTGTGCTATTGCCCCCATACCTGACTACCCCTACCTTTTTTTTTAAGTTCCCATCATGGCTTACTAACACTTCCACAGCCTGTATTATATCACCCTGAACTTTTTGTTTTTGTTTTCATAATGCTGAAAATCTTTCACCAGCCTGATACTGAAAAGGTTCACAAACCTTGGCCTGCCAGTAACTATATGAGCAGTGTCAGATCTGTGAAAGTAGAGGCTTGTCTGACAAGTTAATTCAGCAGAGAAGCTTAGGTTTCCCTTTGTAAGGAACAAATGCTGGCATCCAGTAGATGGTGATGTTTAATAATGTATTTCCTGCTCTTTCACCAGCTGATGGAGGCAGACATCTCGGTCTGTCTCTTTATATTTGGGCATTTTACTTATATCATGTTCTTTACATCTTTTCATGCTTCTGTTTTTCTCTCCAAAGAGCAAGCCTCAAAATACATAAACTAACATTACATGTTTGTTTTACACTAACCCCCTTTCTAGTTCATGTTTCCATCCTCTACAAACACAGGGAGACTCTACAGTCTGTAGGTAGTTGAGGTAAACTGCTGGTGGAGACTTCATAGTCTGACCTCATGTAGCTACATGGAAGTAAAAATTTCCTGTGCTTACCTCTCTCTCAAATTGATGTTAAACAGTTATCTCAGGTTGCTTATCTTGGTTTGAAAAAATAATTTTCCAGTATGTATTCTTTTCTTCTTTGCCAAATTGGGACAAGATGTTTGTATTCATGTAAGTGTGTGTTCCTACAAGCTTGCAGACTGAACAGCCACTTCACTCTTCATGTATTTACACTGTGCCTTGGTGGGCAGCATCCAGGAAAAGAAAAGTAAGGAGGCCAGCCAAGTTTTTGCTGGGCAGCTATACAAACATCTCCAGCTTCCCTGTGAATGATCCAAGAATAGAGCTGAGTTTAGAAAATATGTTCACTCTTGACAAAGTGGTTTTGAGAGTTTCTGCAGGTACTCCAAACAGCTCTATTAGCCACGCTGGTTCCTGTATACCTAGTCTATCTGCAAATAACTGCTAAATAGGTGTTAGCAGAAGCAAACCACTAAAGTCAAGGGACTACTCTATGTAAAGTCGAGTCCTAAAGCCATAGGGTATGTTAGTTGGGTACGGTTCCCTAGAGTGCAGCATTTCACAGACAACTCACCATTGCTCAAACAGGTTGGTTTCCCTTTCTGTGTCTCTTTGTCCACCATATTTCTGGCTACACACCCCCAGGGCTAACTTGGTGCCAGCTTTGGCACTTGTCAGACATTTCTGTATTATTTTAATTCCCTAAAATAATAGAAAACAAGACCAGGAGAAAAAAAAGCCCCAATTAACAGCATGCTGACATTTCAATGAGTTCAGTCAGCTATAGAGTGTGATGACAGCCAGAATATGGATGGCACGGTACAGCTGGGACTGAGGGAAATGGACAGAGGATGGGGTAGGATAGAGGAGAGAGAGGGCATGTGAGAATGGAGAGGAAAGAGATCTCCTGAGTTCTGCAGCAATAAGCTGTCAGATCTGGTGGATGCCTGTGGAACCACTATATTCATAGTTGTCATGGGTGATATGCATGTGGCAAAAGATGCTTATTAGGTTTATACAGCCTTCATTAAACATGATATATATA